GTCCGCGTTCTCCCGACGCCGGTGCAAGCTAAGCAAACCAACACGCTCTAACGCAGACTCATATGTTAAACAGTGAACATCCTCCTTTATGTAGCGATGTTTAAAGATAGAAACAAACTTTTTTTGCACACGTTCGATTTCCAAGGAGTGACTTTTAGAAATTCCATTCCAAACAACTGAGGCATATTCTAACTGTGACCTGGATAGCGAGCAGTATAACGTGATAAAAGCCGTCGGGTTTTTGAACTCCCTGGTTAAGCGAGAGGCAACACCCAACATTCGCAAAGACGAGTTAACCAGTTTACCAACGTGATCAGAGAAACGCAACCCAGAATCAACCATGACTCCGAGATCTTTCATTACACTTACTCGAGACAAAGTCTCTCCTTGAACATTATATGCAAAAGAGATATTGTGAGTTTTCCGAGAGAGCGTCATGACCTTGGTTTTGGACGGGTTCAAGAGAAGGTCATTTTCAGAGCACCATCGGTAGAAAGAACATGCATCTTCCTGGAGCTTAGCACAATCACGTTCAGTAACTATTTCTCGATAAATTTTTATATCGTCAGCATATTGCAGGAATGAAGAATTTAAAACAGCAAAAGAGACGTCATTTACGAAAATTGTGAACAGAAGGGGTCCTAAAACAGATCCCTGAGGAACGCCAGAGCGAGTCCTGTACAACGAAGAGTTCATGTTGTTAACCCGGACATATGCCTCTCTCTCTGACAAGTAGCTTTTTAACCAGTCATGTACTGAGCCACATACTCCATAGGAGGAAAGTTTGGATAAAAGAATAATGTGATTGACTACGTCAAAAGCCTTACTTAAGTCAAAGTAGACAACGTCCAACTGACCTCTGTTACATATTACACGAGATGCAGCAGACATAAAGCTAATGAGATTGGTAGTTGTTGATCTGCCGCTCATAAAACCATGCTGATTGGGAATTGCTAAGTTTCGAAATTTGAAAGACAGGAATTGATGAACTACCATTTCAAAGAGCTTAGAAAATGGAGAGAGAAGAGAAATAGGTCTATAGTTACAAATATCACCTTTTTTTCCCGACTTTAAGACTGGAACAACAGCAGCGACTTTCCACGTTTCAGGAAAGGTTCCCAACCTTAACGAGTTGTTAAATATAGAGCACAGTACCGGCGTGAATATGTCGTGATACGTTTTGAGAATCGCAGAGGGAATGCCGTCGCGCCCTACTGATAATGTTGCTCTCATTTTCTTAATACAGGATCGTACGGACTCTTCATCAACATTAATGCAACTTAACAAGTCACCAAACCCATCTAAGTGAGGCAGCACAGGTGCAGAACGCTGCGTACTATCCCTGTAGACGGACCTAAAATGCTCAGCAAATAACTCAGGCACGGACTTCAAATCGCTCTCGTGATTATCCAGGACAATCTTCGACTCGATATGCCTCCCAGAACGTGAATTAATGTACTTCCAGAATTTCTTCGGATTATTGACAAGATCTGATTCCACTGAGCAACGATGAGCCTGGCGGTCGCGATCCAGGAACGTCTTACATTGCTTTCTGCAGTTCTTGAATTCCACCTCCCACTTTAAAAGGCCACTTTTCTTAAACTTCCTGTGAAAGAAGTCCTTTCTTTTCAGTAGTGTTTTTAGTTCACTGGAAAACCAGTTAGGAAAGCGAGATTTAGTAACTGTCCTTAACGGAATAAAAGTATCCATGGCCTTCCGAACAGTTTGCGTGAAGAGCATGACCTGGTCATTCACATCAGGCGACTCCAAGATCAATGCCCAATTAAAACTCGTGAGGTAATGATGCATCCCGACATAGTCCCCTGCCGACAGATTATATGAGGTGTGCGGCGGGGAATCACTAGAATGAGCACGAACAGAAGAATTCTCGAAAGAAAGTACTATATCAAGTGCAGGATGATATGTATCCTGAGAAACTAATGGCAGTTCACCCCGTGCTACACGCACACTCTCCATATTTGAGAAGCATAAATCTAGAGCATTAAATTGGTGATTCAAAACATTATTGTGTTGTTTGAGATTTAAGAAAGAAGAAAAGTTTAAGAGCTGGGTGCCTTTCTGCCTGCAGTAAAAGTTGTCCGTAAAAACATCAAGCTGCGGCCAGTTGACTCCAGGAACATTAAAATCCCCCAAGATTAAGACTTCGCATCCCTGTAAGTCATTCACTGTATTCTCTATGCCAACAAGACAACTATGAAATTCATCTGGCGGTGTCTGGGGAGGGAGGTAAAATAAACCGATGAAAACGCGTACTCCCTTTGCAGCCTCAATCTCGTCCCATACGCTCTCGGGAAATTTCTCTAAGTCTTCGCGTCTCCTAGAGCGGTAGCGCCTGTCGACTGCGACCAACACTCCACCTCCCGTTCTGCTCCGCCGGGTAGAATCACGATCGCGACGGTGCACCTCAAAACAAGGAGGGAAGTAATCGGAGGAGCCGATGCTAGAACACAACCATGTTTCAGTTAAACAGAATATAGAGCAATTGGATAAGGTAACATTAGAGAAAAAGCAATCGGCTTTTGTACGCAGGCCGCGAACGTTTTGGTAAAATAAATCAATGTGACTCATCCTTGATCTATCCAACGTTCAAAGGGGAGGCGGCTGCCTCGGATGCATGGAGCAGGTCTTCGCGAAGGGCGCCTCGAAAGGCCTTAAAGAGGCATGATTTGGGCCACACGGTAGGATCGGAAAGCTTTTCGAAGTCTTTTGCAACCACAGACACATGGAAGGAGGCGTAGGAGTCGTAGGAGTCGTAGGAGAATAATAATAATAATAATAATAATAATAATAATAAATTATTTATTTTCTCTGCCCACGAACAACTTTTCAGTTTCCACTCTGGAAGGGGGAAACCAGAAACGAGGAGAAGGGGGTGGGGGGAGGTTCCTTGGCTAGCACGGGGAGGGTGTGTGCGCGCGCTAGCCTGTGGGCTGCCTGGTTGCTCGGTACGCTCCTGTGAGCGGGGACCCAGCGTATAATGGCATGATGGCCGGATGATCTCAGGAATGTTACGGCCACCATTAGTTCTTGCAATGCAAGACCGGTGTGCTTGGTGTCGAAGCTTATTCAGTGATCCGCTTGCGAGTCAGTATAGGTAAGGTGCGTGAGTGGAGCGTTTTCCTGTGCCATCAGAAGAGTGTCTCGTACATAGCCTGCACTAGCGTGGAGCTCTGCTTCGGTACTTATCGGGAGAGTAGGCGGGGAGCCCTGTGCAGTTGTCTATGGGGCGGCATAGTGTGGTTGTGCCATGCCGTGGCGTGCCTGGCATCTTGTGAGTGACTATCTGGAACGGCTGCATCTTTTTTTTTTAATATAAATTATACCGGGATGTAAAACTTCACACTGCATCATCTTTTCTCGAATCACTAGTCTCTAATATGATATCTCTTTGTACGCTGTATGTAAAATGCTGTATAAAGGTTCTCCTCACTTTTAGTGTGTGACCGATCGTTTTAGTTGTCAGTTACCTCATATGAATAAAAATATATGAAATATGTTTGTTAGTTTTTTTAAACCGAAACTCAGAGTCACTTCTCGTATAGGGCACTGCTACGTGTAGGCTTTGAAAAAGGACCCTACTTTGGGGAGCTGTGTCTTCTTTCTCAATAAAATGATGCAACATGTTTTTAATAGAAATGAATGCCGAAACAGAGTATGGCAAGGTACCAAATTTTAAAAAAAGATCGAAGGTGGTGTTGTTGTTTTCTTTTTTTTTCTTTTGTATCGGAAATTTTCATTGTTTTTTTTTTTCCCATGTTTGCCTAAATATATCCCCGTTATTGTATCACTCAAATACCTTATTTATTTTATTAATATTAGACATATATAAGTAAAATACTACCTCCAAATAATATGATAATGCTTAAATTATTTCATCAGATACAGGCCTCCAAATTTTGCCATTCGTCGTTCGAGCATGCACGTTTGGCAATTTCTAGAAAATTAAATAAAATTTACATAAATATTATTAGTCTATCTTACAAGCAAGCTGTACTCATAGTTTGTTCTTTAAAAAGTATTAGAGTTCGCCTAATATTATCATTCAAGTTATTCACTTTCAAACGTGCCCCCCCCCCCCCCCCCCCCCCCCCAATCAGTGCGCGTTAATGCAACTGTCCACCTCTTCATGCTTTGCGATTTTTCCTGTCCCCAAATTTATTTTCTGGACAAAACTAAGTGCGGATTTCTTTATACCAGGCACTTGAGAGTGGCATATAGAAACGTCAGTTGATTTTAAAATGTCGACCACCCACCCTTTTTTGGTCGATCTTATCTGAAATCACCTTCCTAATACTAGAGGATAGCAAAAAAGGATCTCTTTTTATGCAACCCGGATACACACTCCGTCATTCTGTATTATCTAATTAGTTTCGCACGTCGCGGAAATTAATTATTCAAGGTTTTAGGTGACGGCCTTCTTGAAACGCCACGAATCTAAGAAAGGTAAACCGATTACAGATGTGGCTGTAGTAAAACAAAAAAAAAAATAATCTTCGTTCACTGTGCAGTCAAGGAGGTTCACGTATTGTCAGGATTAGCATTCAATTCGTTTTTCAAAAAGAGGTTGAATCCATATTTTAGAAAAGGTGAGCCACATAGAAATAAATTAATAGAGTACAATGAACAATAGACTTTACATCGTTCACCGAACAATGAACCAAAGAGGACACTACGAGCACTGAAGTCATTTCAACGCCATGTAAATGTAACATGACCTTTGGTATGAGCACAGCGACGTGTGGGGGCGTGTAAAAATACTCACAGCACTGGATGGCTGAAATAGCCTGTAGTACCTGATGCGTTTCATTGTAAGATGGACGAAGTATAATCAGAAAGTATAAAGTAGCTTTAAAAGGTAAAAGCTGGCAGCCTGGTTTTTTCGTATCTACCACCAAAATAAATTAAAATATTAAAGTAAAACTATATAGATTGCGTGCATATAATTAAAACTTGTGCTGCATTGTTAATTCAATACTAACCAAGCACTGCGGTGACGAAGATCCACAAAATGTTATTCTGCATTGTGACGTTCTTTCGGGTTCACAGTGATGAATTTACTGCGAATGCGGTATATATATATCACTTCACCGTCTCCCTGACATTTTACGAAAGAAGCGTGAAATAAAAAAAAAACGAATTTAGTGATGGTATGAAGCTCTCCAGAAACAATAAACACTGTCGAACGCAAGCATCTTTGCGCATAATGTGCGACCTTTGGAATTACGTACAGAAGTAAAGAAACACACACATATATATATATATATATATATATATATATATATATATATATATATATATATATATATATATATATATATATATATATATATATATATATATATATATATATATATATATATATATATATATATAAGCAGTAGTAAGTGTGATTGCCTCAGAAAGCCAACGTTGTTTCCGTAAAGCTTTCTTATAAAAAAAATCAATCTTTAATTTGTCTTTAAAACTAGAAAAAAACAAAAAAACAATTTTTTTTTATATATATATAAATGGCTGACTATGCCTGAAAACAAAAAGCGGAACTGGGTTCCGCGGCAAGATGTCGACCGCCACGTTTACTATACACTCTTAGAAAAAAAGGGGTATAATCTTACACCCCTTGTATCATATAATATACCGTAAAACTTCAGTTCGACGTACTGCGCCTTGACGTCGAACTGACGGTACCAACATTCACGAGCGACTTGATAGCCGGCCGAGTGGTACAACTTATTAGAATGGCTACAAAAACGTAATCAGGGTTTTATTGGCCCTACTGCACAAGCTCAGTGTCTTTTTTTTTTTTTGTAGTCACTGACACGCATTTTAGCTCTTTAATAAGTAATATCGCACCGTTATCAACCACGTCAAAAAAGTTGAAATCGTCAGTTTGACGTCAGTGCGCTGTACGTCGAACTGAAGTTTAGGGTGTATTATATAGCCAAATGGAGTAAGACTACACCCTTCGTTTCTGAGAGTGTAGTTATTCATAGCTTACGAAACGCAGGGCGCGGTGCGTCTTGCGAATGATGACATTATTACTTTATTGCGACTTATTGAGTCTCGGCTCCTCCAGCCGTGTACATTATTCAGCCGGGACAAAGAGTATGGCATAAAAGTATGTTCGAAGTGCACGACAGCAAACCACAATCTTAATTATACACTCGTAATAACAACAGCAATCACACAATCCTATCATATTAAAAAAATATCATAAATAGCAAATAGAAATAAAATGCTCGTAAACATTATCCTTGTGCACATAAACTCAATCACGGCCATGGCGGTAAAAAAATAGTTTAGCAAGAATTCTTTCTATCATAATTAAAAGCCTAAAATGATGCAGAATAAAAAAATATTCTTTGATATCCTAATATTGTTCAAATATTTTGTTACCTGATTTTTTTTTAGTTTTGTAAGTCGTAATTTGATCGTGTGTTTGGTTTCACATAATTTTGAGTTCTCAGATTGCATTGTGTTTTTTTAGGTCGATATAGGTTAAAAAAGCCACCTCGTCAATTCTAATCATTATATAGATTTGTATTGCAAGTTTCACGTTAAAAAGTTGTGCGATACCTTATATGCGATACTTTAAAAATTAGGACCTGTAAGATTTTCGAATGATAAGTGTTCAATAACGCGTAGACCTTTTTTTTTGTTTTGAAGATTGATGATTATAAATGAGTCTGTTCTTTTTGTATCACCCCAACCACGTAGCCATTAATTAGGATGCGAATTGACAAGACTGTAATAACGTTGGCGCTTAAGCAAGCTTCAGAGAAGAAATTTGATTAATTCAAAGTACCAACTTATCTGGAGATCTTAAAGCGTATATCATTTACATGATGTGTCCATTTTGAGGTTTCCTCAAACCAGACACCTAAATATTTCTGTGAAAGTACTTGTTAAATTATTGATTTTTTTTTTTTTTTTTAAGTTTATAGTTACAGTGTAGTCCATTGGTTTCCTTCTTGGCTTGATGACACTATATTTTGTGTTCCTGATATTTTGTTTCATTTTGCTTATTTTGTAGCCATAATAACAATTCGTATAGCCAAATGTTGGCCATATTCTCAAGTTTCTCACTTCTTTCATCTGTAAATAAACAAATTAGTGCCATCTTAAAATATTACAACGTCAGGAGTTTTAGGAATGTTGATTAAGTCATTTATGCAAAAAAAAATCTCACTATCACTCCACAACAAATTAAATGGCGGGCTTCGTCAAAACAAAATCCGGAAGACAAATAACGAAACAAGGAGCGTGAACAAGATAAACCATATCCTGCGCCTTTTATTCTCATAGTGATGTTTTTTTTTTTTGGTCCTTTAAACATTTTTTCAGTTTTCTGAAGTCCCACCGCTGCAGACGCTAAGATGCGACGTAGCCGATCCGGCACCACCAAAAGTGTGTTGTCTTTGAGGATTTCCTGTCACAGGCTAAAGCAATCACGTACAGAAAGATGAGCGGGATCACGACACATTCATTGCGCGTTATTGCTTCAACCCGGGATAGCACATGCACAAATGCGACGAGCACTGTGAGGATGCAATTTTGGCCCCTACTAATCGGCTTCGCCGAATCCTATTAAACTTGAAGCGAAACGGAGTATAGTAATGTCAAAAGCAAACTAAACGCTTACCAAATCATACGGAAACTGAAAGCACAAGTCCTTGTCAAAAAATAGATCAGATATGGGCAGAAGCGAATCTCTTAGAAATAATTTGTGAGACCACTTTACAGTTACTGACGTCTTGAGAAACACAAGGCGTGTTGTATTATGTTCATCCGAAGTTCAATAAAAATTCGCCTTTTCTAAGACAACTATTTGGCACACCCTCAAGTATCTAACAGTCGAATTCCAGTAACTCCCAAGGACTCAGAAAGCGTCATTGCGTAGTGTGACATGAAAAATGAAAATGGATAAAAAAACATTTGCTTTTATTAACTATGTATCCATGCTACCTAATGATTACACTATAATGAATTCAAAATTAGATAAAGTACCTTCATATAAATACCTGGGGTTCATCTACCTACAAATCTTTCCTAAAATACATGCATAGAGTACCTTCTTAACAAGGCTAACCAAACTTTGGAATTTTTAAGCAGGCATTTGAACGTGGCAGCAGCAGAAAATAAACTATGAGCATACACTACCCTGGTTCGACCTAGGTCGGAGTACGGATTTATAGTTTGCAACCCGCATCGAAAATATTTATTTGACAGGCTAGAATCGCTACAAACTAGGGTTACTTTTTCCATATTCAAAATTTATAAACCTGTAAGCGTCACTCCACTTAAAACATAAATAGGATTCACATCAACTGAATCTAGTGAAAATAACGTCAACCCACACACTCTTATTTTTCCTTCTCACAATCACCCTAACGAACTTCATATTCCCTTCACCAGAACTAACTTGTATAAATTCTCTCCGCTACTACAAGCTACAGCCGACAGGATTGGGCTGTCAAGCCAAATTGTTCTCAATAGAAACCACTACGTTTTTGTAGCATTATTGCGTGAATCATTGTCGTGACAATCGTTTTGCGTTTATTTTTGTCTTCTTAAGAAACCCTTATTTCTTTTCCCTTTTTTGTGTGCGTGCCTGAGATGTTTGTATGCGTGAGCATGAGCCATGCTATTCTCTGTTAAGTTCTGTTGAGCGTGATTCTGTGTTTTTTTATAATTGTTTTTCTTTTCTTTTTTACAACATTGTGCGACTATGTAAACGTTACATGTATTCCCTTTCCTTTATGTAATGACCCCCTGGGGCCTTTCGAACTATTAAAATAAATAAAATAATATAAGTGTGTCCTACATGGTAATGTGCTCTTCTACGTGTCTACACACATTTCCAGCCTTCTCCTTAGCCCTTGGGGTAATTTGGCGGAGGATCGGCACCGAGCGCACGAAGTAAGGAAGCGCCGGTGCTGGACTGGACATGTCGTTGCATCACTTGTGCCTTCTTCCAAATCCACTCAATCTCACTTCAGAGAAAAGGTTTCGTACCTTCGCGTTCGAAAACCTACTCGTGAGACTTGCTCCTCGACTTGGGTTATGACGCGATGATACTTTCGGGAGTAACTCGGATCTAATCGAGGAAAATTTGTAGAACAGCCACCTTAAAAATTAAACTCCATGAAACGAAAAAAAAAAAAAAAAAACTACGAATTTCCCTTGCCGGCGTTTGTTCTGCTCGTGGCGTCAGAAGGGTAGCTATTGCGCCCCCGCGCGCAAAGCGAATGTGCCGCCGGGCGAACTTGGTAGGTCCTTCACCAAATATACGCTCCATGGAGTTGAGCCTTAACGCAATAAAAAAATGCGTCGCGATTTAGCCTTAAAGAGGCCTTGCAAAGACTTTCTTGCTGGTTTTTAATTTGCACCGAACCTGAGCGCACTGAAAGTAGTAACTTAATAAAACTTTTTATTCTTGAATTTCGCTTTATTTTAAAAGTTATGGATGAATTAAAATTACAAAAACAAGCAAAAAATAACCTCCATCATGACGTCCTTGGTCGCTTGAGTGGCCGTGAACTACAGGAGCTCAGCGAGAGCTCATGGGTGCCGTACTCCGTGTCGACGGCTCGAGAGGGCGCCACTAAAGCATGTTCTAGCTAGGTTGTATGAAGCGGGCAGCCAGGGCGGCTCGCATTGCATTTGCTGCGCGATTAAACATTAATTTGGCATAAGATTTCATTGGCCCAAACGATAGCGAACACGAGGTAAATATCAGTTCAGAACGGGAGCTACTTCGCGCTGCCATACCGCCAAAAGGCCAAACCGCAAGACAAAGCTGCTTGTCGGAAGGCTTATAAACGAACCGGTCGGGTCCTCCAGCCCATACGACCGCAGCGCCGCCGCGTAAATGCAAGACCTTTCTACGCTCGCCTCTCGTTGGTGCCTAATCCCACTACACCTTTCTAGTATGCGCCGCCTTTTCCACCGCTTGGTGGCGGGTATGTCGACGTGTCGTTTCTTGTTTCCGTACTTTCTCAATTGCATTTGTTTCGTTTTTTTTT